ATTTTTTTTTTTATTTATATTTTTTTTTCTTTTTTTTTTTTTTTTTTATTAGTTTTGTTTTTTTTTTTTTTTTTTTTTTTTTTTTTTTTTTTTTTTTTTGTTTTTTTTCTTTTCCAACACCCCCCCCCCCCCCCCCCCCCCCCCCCCCCCCCCGGCTGGCCGCGCTGAACACGAATAACCCTGTACATGTGTCTGATACATAAATATTGTGTGTGCGTACGTTTGAACTACTTTTGTTTCCTGGAAAGCCATTTGATTTTCGGAAACTCAACCGATTTCCTGGAAAGCCATAATTCAAAGTATTAGCAAAACCCGTTAGTTCTGTTAATGATAAGAGCAAGAATAAGTTTTATATCATCATTTCAGAAAAACTTTTCAAACTGGATCACTCTCACCTGCAAACCTTTTTTAGAAGTGATCATGCATTTTTGCGTTAAAACTGGCACGAAAAAAGCTTTCTTTTCTCAACAATCTTCGAATGGTCTCAGCAAATAATTTTTACACTCTCCAGTTGATATGTATAATCTAAGAATAAATCTTTCCGAACGCATATCCTTGTTATTCAAAATCGTTTTTTAGTGCACTTGACTCGGAAATCCATGCTGTATTAGATGATATCAACTTAGACCAGACTAATTTGAAATCACACTAGTCCAAATTCAAGTTTGAATCTGGCCTAGTCTGATTTCAAATTAGGCTAGTCCAGATTCAAATCAGTATCAAAATGTCTTACAAAATTGTCTGCTGTTCGAATCTGTTAGAACAAGGAACGCTTATCAACTTTGTAGGTTTTTAATATAAAACTTTTTTTCTGGATATTCAGGTGGCACGAACTCAAACCAGACACCTTCTTCGAATTCAAATGGAGGAAGCAGCAGTGAAATGACCATCACTTCAAGAATAAGTTCAAGTGGCATCGTCACCGAAGAGACGTCCATCACTACATCAACTGGAACAATTACTGAATAGTCTCCAAGCACGGGATCAGCGGACACCAATACTGAACTTACTCCTACTACTAAGTCCACTGGAACAAATACTGCTCAAGCAATGGAAACAAGTCCGGAGCAGACCACTGTGACTGGTATGCGTATATCTTCAAATAATGCTCAGCTAACGCTTGTATCCGAAAGCGCGATGTTATCCAAATTACTAACACAAGATCATGTTATATTATAGATAAGCGACAGAAGGAAAGCTTTTTGCTCTAGTTGTGTGCTCAATGAGAGTGGTGTCCACTCACTACATCGGTTGCTCCTTTTATGCAAAAGTTCACATAAAATGTGTTCTCAATCGTGCGGGTATTACAACAATGGGAAGCACGGCCTGTACAACATACATGAAATTCTTCAAAACTGAGTTCTCTAGCCGGAGAGGCTAGAGATCCCCGTCGTTTAAACTACACACAAAATTATTGTCATTTTTATAAATGTTTCACTGAAGCTACTTAGCAAAATCTTTGGGAATGCAAACATGGTTTTCTCAGACATCCAGATAATCGAGAGAACATAGATATGTCGACAATATATTCAAACTAGTGGCAACTCGTATAGAAATCAATTTGTATTAAAATGAGATCGTGTTCAAGTTATTTGGATGTCAAATGAGAAACTTATAGGTGTAACCAAGTGATTTCTCAGCGTTTTGAACGAATTTGGCTACCTATCTTATTTGCTGCAACTTCGTCATCTGACATCGAAATAATTTTAACAAGGTCTCACTTTAAAGAGGATGTATTTCTCTGCCAACCAGGACAGCGTGGTGTGGTAATTGAGTGAACTACTACATTTTTCTCTGTTTTTTTGGCAACTTCAACAACGACATCGACATCGACCACTACAAGTAGGTTCATTTTAAATAGAAAATACATCGATCGCAACGCTACCGAATAGCTCTAACCTAAGAAACTAAGGTGAACAAAGAGGCATGTGTTCAGCAGAAAACATTTCCAGCTCAACAAGAACATTATTCTGATTGTTCTAATACATCTTAACATACCCTCATTTTCGTCACGGTATTTCGAAAAATACGATGGACCGGTTTTTTATTTAATGTCCATTATGCTATTCAGTTTATGGTCTTCAACTCTTTATTTACGGTTTAGCACAAGTGTCATCGTCAACTACTAACCAGTGCTTATCCGTATCAACAGCGTGTTCTACAGGTAGTCAATGTTGTGGTGAAAATTGCGACATAGGATCATGTAATGAGGAAGAACAGAGTTGTCCAAAAACTTGTCTGCTTTAGGCGTTACACATTTTTGATTTCGTCAAGTATTTAAATTTTGTTTTTTGTTTTTTAAACTTTGTTTAGTTATTAATAAAATCAATAGTTATAACTAAGACAGGTCAAAAGAGGGTAGAGCCCCGTTATTATTGTCCTCTCTGGCCAATAAAAAGGAGAAAAAATAGGAAGTACCAGGATGCAAATACATAATAGAAAACAGATATAAAAAAGACATAAAGGAACAAATAAATGGCAGAAGAAATGAAGGAGAGGATTGAGTGTGCAAAGAGATGCAGACCAAATTTTGCATCGTAAACCTTTCAGTTGAAAGAATATATTCAATAACACTTCTGTAGACTATCAAGTAGTGTTCCTTTGAAATACGTATGTTAAGTAAGAGTAATTCACTACTTAGGGGTTGCGCCAAATCCAAAGTTGATAGTTTCTGTTCAAGATTATTTCGTTGCGATCGGTGCAATAAACAGTGCAGCAGATAATGGTCTACACTTTCAATATCACCGCAAGTACAAGGATTAGTGAGGCTCAAGTTTTTATTATACAAGTTTGCATTTAGTGATGGAAAGTCCACACGCAAACGGTTGAAGGAGATATCTGCTATTCGATCAATACCGTACGTTCGGTAATGAAATATATTAACATTATAATAGATTTTTAATTCTGTCTTAAATTTCTGTTTTCGGAAACCATTTAGTTTTACATTATCCGGCAACGAATTCCACATAGTCCCTCGACTCTGAGATTCCAAATCGCTTCTGTAACGAATTTCCTAGCTACTGAACAGCTATTGGCTAGCTTTTGCAGATCCTGAATGAAAAAACTTCATGAGCTCCTATTATTGTTTCATTGACTGTAAGTCTATGGTCATATAAAATAAATAACGTGAATCGCATCGATTCACTAAGTCCATTGCCTGTAAGTCGCATGAATGTACTGTCGGAGTTACTATTCGTGCTGTTGTAACTCGATCCTCTTACTGCATAATTGATGGATATTTTTCGCGATGGGAACGTCCATATTTTGCATCCTGGTTCAGCCGATGCTATAACTTTTCACTGGTCGGAAAAGTTTATCAGAATTTCTGTAGTTCATCGAGACTCTGTAATTTGATTCGTATCTATCTGTCATACAGACTTTCAAAATGGACGTGATATTACCAAATCTATCAGTCTTCTTACCCTGATAACCATACCTAAATGGGGGCAAACTTTGGCCGAGTTCGTGAAAAAAACTCGTTCCTTCTATTCGCGCTCGCAGGCAGGCGATGTGTTACACTTCTCTGATTCCACAGAAAACTCGAACGCATTAACCTATGTGGACTAATGTTCGTGACACTCATTAGTGATTCTGTGTATGTACGTCCGTCACACTCCCACATCACTATATGTATGTACGTACGTCACACTCACTGGTCACTATATCATGCGTTCCAGTTTTCTGCGGAGTCACAACCAGTATTCCCTAGTT